AAGAGGAGGAGTGGAATTACTGTATATGAAAGGAAATGCTTATATACGTTGAATTCCAGGAATTTGAGCATGAGGACCTATTTCAGAGCATTTAAGTAAGAAGGACAGAAAACAATAAAAATGTTATTCCAGGGATGTGCAAGACAGCCAAGCCAGGTAGAAGATCTGGATAATGTTCTCTGGGATCAGTTCACAGAAGGAGAAACTGTCATCCCTATAAGATACACCTGTAATAGGCTGTGAGAATAACTTTGGGAGACATGAGGAGGAGGAGCTGCAGCCTAAACAACGGTCAGACAAAAGATATCGCAGCCCACAGAAGGAATGGGGGTGGAGAAAGCATCTCAGAAGGGACCCTCCCTAGTTCTCTGGAAAGTAAAGGCAAGGGTGGGGAGAAGTGCATTCAAACTTGGAAGATTCTGTTACTGTAACCTTACAATAAAGGTAGTATTAGTACTCATGGTTTTGGTTTCTTGTCTGAATTACTTTGAAGAGCTGACAATATCTGACTAAGAAACCAATGCTATACAGTTCTAAAGTTACTTTTGTTAGAACAGCTGTAGTAACAGAATCTTCCAAGTCTGAATGTGCTTCCTCCCTCCCTCACTTTATCTTCATGTGAATTAGTGAGCGGCCTGTCTGAACTGTTTACTCAACTTAGTGTCTTGGGATGGGTTCAAGCCACACTTGTCCGATCATTGTCTTGGTAATGGATCTTCATCCTGTCCTTCAAGGCTATTCCCTACACCCTCTGCAGAAACACAAAGATAATGGAAAACTTTAAGGGCCTGGACATCTATTGGGAAATGTTTAGATACATGTCCTAATCGTGAGAGCTATTTGGCAGTGGAAAATACCCCCTTGGGGGAGATGGTGGATTCTGTCATGGTGGTTTCCTGCATTGGACAGAGGATTATGCTAGATGATCTCCACAGTTTCTTCCCAACCTTACGTTCTATGATTTGTGACTATTCTTTCTTTTCTCTTTTCACTTTAAAGTTTAATCCATCTAACATCATTTTGCCCAAAGATTACACTTTTCTTTAACCTACTGATCACACTTGCTAGATATCTCTTACATTTAAGAGAAGTAGTTAATGATTCCCCAGATTACTTCTTCCCACATTCCTCTTCCTGCTACTAGTTAATGGAGGTTGCTTAGGAATTCTTAAATTAATAGAAATGTCAATACTCTGAGAATGCCTTCTAAATAGAATCTGAAGAAAGAATAAAAAGGCACCTTTGTAGTAGAGTTTACAATTGCTTGTAGAATTGCTTTCTTACTGTCGTGTCTAAAATACTTTGCTAAGTGCTTGAATTGAATGCTATAATGATAATTATATGCATAGGTCTGTAAGGTGTGTATACAGTTTATAGTGGAGCAACAGTGGTGAGAAAACCCTTTGGAACAATCCATAATCCTGCAGTATTGTGATCTATGGTGTGATCTAAACTTCATCTAAGCCTTGCTAATACATAATCAGATTATGATTAAACAACATCCCAAATAGTGTACTGATTGATTCACTTTTACTGATTAGTCAGTTGGTGTTACCAAAATGCAAGACAACACCAAACTAGATAATAAATGCAAATATACAAATGAAGTACATTCAAACAAATTCATTGCCTTTGTGTGTATAATATCTTCTCTGTAGAAGTGCCTGCCCTCTGGAATAAGATTCCCCTGAGATCCAGATGGCTGCCACTCTAATAATGTTCTGGAAGGCCTTGAAAACCTGGCTGTTCTCCCAGGCCTTGGGGTAGGGTGAATGGACCCCCCCCATTTCAGAATAAAATAAAAATTACTCCAATCTTTTCTATAAAAATGAGTTCTTGATGAACAGCCTTGACTATGAACTTGGCGATCCAGCTTGTGACAAATGAGTTTGTGCCCTGGAGGAAAAAAGACTGCTGTCAGTGTCCCAGTAGGCTCTTCTGTCAAGTAGTGACTCCCAGTATGGTATTCTGGTATTCTTACTGAAGCATATAGTTGGCAGTTGAACAGAACATGTGCAGTATCTTCTACGTCTGAGGCTTCACATATCACTTTCTCTCATGGTACAGCACTTGATAAATTCTCCTGGGTTTTACCATAGAATCTGGTAACTCAAATCTTGCTCCAGTAAAAGCCATTGTTTGGTACTGGGTTATACATGTAGTCAGATATTTTCTATTTGAAATGCCTTTTTATTCTTAGCCAACCATTTTAACAATTTAATATTTACAAGAGATTCAATATTAGTTTGGGGAAACAGTGTTCTGTGACATGGCTTTATTGAAGACATTGATTCTATTCACTATCTTTGTTAGAAGAAGTATGTGAAGAACTAGATTAATCAGCCCTCTTATGGGGGGTAAATTGAGTCAAATGTTCCAGTCAATGAGATCAATTAGATATGAGTTTGATGACTCATCAGCATAAAAAAGAGCATATATTTTGATTACCATCATTGGAGTTTGCCATTCACGATACAAGTTTATGAAAGTGATTAAAATATATCTTTGTATAACTCAGAGAGTTGATTTTTTTAAATAAAACTTACATAGAAACCAATCTCAACTAGTAACTCTAGACTGCTCACAATAAAAATATAAAAAGATAAAAACAGTAACACATAAAAACACAATTACAGTGTAACCAAAACCTTTAGAAGCTGTCATACAATCATGATCCCATATGTGCTTGGCTCAATTAACCTAGGAAAAAAGTCACGTCTTCAAGGCTAACAGGGTCAGAGCCATTCAGATTTCAGGGGGATGCTATTCCATAGGGCAGGCACTACACAAGAGAAGGGATGCTTCCTAGGTCCTGCTAGATGACATTGTTTAATGGGAGACCTTGAGAATGCTCATGCTGCTGGATCTTAGTGGGAGCCAGTGCAACTTGTGAAGAAGTGGCATTGCATGGGTGTACTATGGCACACCCAAAGCTAGACCAGCTGCAGTTTTTGAATGTTCTTTAAACCTGGCAATGACTATATGAGGCTGGAAAGGGCTATCAAACCCATAACCGTAGTCTTTGGCCTCAGTCCACAGTCAGGCAGTTAGTGTACAAATGAGGAAAATGCAACCCCATTATTACTCTTCTCATTGTTACTGTTCCAAAAATCACTCTAAGATTTTTGTGATTCTCCAGGAGATTACAGAAAACACCAGTGTAATGCAAAGGATTTTTCAGCCACTCCTGATACAGTATTCTGATATTAGGGTTCATGATTCCACCATTAAGAAAACACTGAACAAGAGTGATGTGCATAGAAGCTGAAGCTTAAATGAATGTGAGTGATACAATATGATTGCAATCCTAAGCACAGAAATAAATATACAACAGAATTGCTGAAGCAGAAGAAATGTAAGCCCTGACTTTAACCTGATTGAAACATGGGTTACCTCAAGCAAGCAGTTTGTGCAAGAGAACTTGAAATGAGTTGAAGCAATTCTGTAAGAGGAATAGGCAGAATACTTCTGAACTGATATGTAGAATTGAACAAGTAGAAGTTAATGTCATTCCTGCTAAAGAAGTTGCCACTAGTTTTTAAATCTGAAAATTGGGTCAGTCTGTTCAAAAAAAGTCACCTAACCACTTTCTACCAATGAGATTATCATGTGTCCCTGTTCAACTGGCTAAAAAAGTACACGAGATACACATTTTTTGTCTAATAATAATTGATACATGTTAAAGTAATTTTCATTTTTTAAAAGGTGTTTTCCACTTGCTGCATTCTTTTGTTCTGCTGAAAAAAAGGAGAAATTTGGGAATGGCGTGGATTATGAGGGGAAGAAAGACTACAGTTGAAGGGTGCCTTTCTTGCCTTTGTCTTACAGAGCTATTTCTTGATCTGACTTCTGCCTCCATTGTTCATAATTTTTTTAATATGTCCTCATATGTCTTTCTTCAGAAAGGGAGAAGGCAATGGCATTAAATTACATTAATTTATGTGTAGGATGGTATTCTTGGTTACAATGGAAAATGTATAGAAAGCTCCTCCTTTTTAATAAATAGGCTCATTTGCATTCTCTTAAGAAAAAGCGTTATAACTTTTGATTAATCCTATTAATGCTGCTTTTTCTCTTACAGCTATACTGGGAAAAAATAGAAGATGCACTATATTAATTGCTGTTTATGCTGAATTCTAGGATGTTGATCTGTATCTTAGTGTTAGGCCTCTGAATTCAATAGTCACCATTGCTGATTACTGTAGGCGTTTTTCAAGTGGGGAAAATAGGGAGAATGTTTTCTAATCTACAAAATGGAAATAAAAATGTTTTATGTAAAATATTTGACAATAAGTATAAAGTATAAAGTTTATGGATGGTACAAAAATCCATAGTATCCCAGCTAGAGTTCTAGTTGGAGATAAGCAACTCTGGACCTTACCTGGTACTTGCAAATAAGAAGAAGGGCCAACTGTGCTTGATGAAATCATCAGCTAGTAATAGCCTCCTCTGGCAAGTTTAGAGGATTTTAGTGCTTTGATCTACCTACACCATCATTGTGTTTCTGCTCTGCTGGAGACTGTAATGCTTGCAAAAAGAAACAAGTACTGCCAAACTGGGTCTCATGCTGCATACTGAAGATCAAGTTTTGAAAAGAGTTTACAATGACTCTACTTTAGAATTGGGGCAGACCAAAATTAGCCAGTTTCAAGATCTCCTATGACTTTTCTGAGCCAGATACAGTGTTTGCATCTTTTCCTAATAGTAGCATTAATAGTGTGGTTCTTACACACTATATATATATACCTAGATATGAATGTGACTCCTTCACTGAAGGGAGATTTAGAAGGAAAATAACACTAACTGCTTTGACTTGTAGTAGGTAATTTATTTGTGCTTTTTTAAGAAACAAAATTAAACTACTTGAATAGCTAACTTTATTTTGAACTTGCAGTGATAAATCAATTGAAAGAAAAAGCTGCAGATAGAGAATAAACCTGAATCTGAGAAAGTCTAAATAAATAAATAAATGTTTCTAATTCTTAACATTCTCTCTTCAGGCTGTCATCACAAAAGCCAAAGTGGATTTCTCTGGTGTCCTGTGCCTGCCCCCTTCCGTCATTGCTGGAAATGGGCTGGACGGAGGAGGGGTTGGCGAAAATGAAGATGAAACACTCTCAGTGTCCCTTTCGGCTGCACCAAGCCCCCAAAGTGAAGCTGTTGCCAATGAACTGCAGGAGCTCTCCTTGCAGCCCGAGCTGACTGTAGGCCTCCATCCTGGCCGGAACCCTAATCTTCCTCCTCTAAGTGAGAGGAAGAATGGTAAGTGAAACAGGCCTGTAGTAATGGAAGTGGTACATAGAAATCTAACTCTTTATCATTAATGAGTTGTGCTGTAGAAACGCTATTATACTGGATTTTGCGCAATAGTTTCAATTTCTTAATAGAAGTATGGGCGTCTCTGTCTTAGTATATGCTAATGTACTCTATCCTAATGTAGTGTCTGCTTCTGTTTTAAGTTAAGAGAAGTTATGTTAATTGGTGTTAGGAGATCAAAACTGAACAAAGCTTTTACAGAGGGGTATGCTCCTGAACTTGTAGAACATTTACATTTATTTATGTTATAAGATTGATGCTCATAGGTAAGTTGAGTAGCAAGTCATTATGTAGATATAGTTGCATTTATGATCTCATTTATGTTTAACCACAGGACACAATGTGCTTTGTTTGGATTGGGCTTCTTGTCCTGTGTGAACTTAACAGTTGTGGTTTGTAAGCTATGGTTTACAGCAAAGTAGCCCTTAAGATGTTACTGAAGTACAAATGACTTTTCTCAAAAGAAATGTGAAACTGCTGCACAAATGAGTACTGTACACAAAGATCCTTTATTCTGATTTTCAATGAAGTAAGACTTCTAGTCTATTAAAATATTTGTTAATTGTGTGTCTTTTCTTCTGTGGGTTTCTTCTGTGACTTTGTCTAATCTACATCTATAGCATCCAAGCATTTTAATAACCATATTTTATGAAGAAAAGAATTAGATGCTTCTAGTATTCTGTCTGTGATTTTTGCTGTACTTAATAGATTTTACAGTACCTGTATAATTCGCAACGTTAAATACAATGAAGATAGGGTTTAATGTTAGCTCTTGAGTCTAGTTAGCTGTATATACTGCACTTGGAAACTTTTAACAGTTACTAAACAAAATAAAGTATCTATCTATCTGTATGTCTATCTCCCTAGATGACAGTTTCCAAGTAATCTTATGGGCAATAATGTAATTGGGAGAGCCAGTTTGGCATGATGGTTAAGACATCAGGCTAGAAACCAGGAGACCAGAAGTCAATGCTGACTCAAAGGCAGAAAAAAAAATTATTGGAGGGCTACATTTAATATTTAGTATTTACAAAAATGTTACAAATTAAGGTTTAGAAACTGTTTTGTGGGTTTGTGCATTGATGTTCAGAATGAGGGAGCAGCCTCTTAAAAAAAAGTGTTTGTTACAGACCAGTACTACTGACCTTGTTATGTTGTGCCACAATTTAAATTCTTTTTAAAAAATTATTTCTATTGCAGCTGCAAGGCTATGTTCTTCAGTCTTTCACAGATGTAAATAGAGGCACATTTCTAATACTGCTATTATATCTCAGTCACTCCCTATTTTATTTTAAAAGTTATTCTATGCCTGCTGAACACCTTTACTCGAGCACAGCATCATATGTCTCAGTTTAAAAAGGAAAGAATCTTCTAATTATATATATTCAATTTACTAATAACTTAAAATATACTTCAGCAACTACAGTATTTGAAATAATAGATTCTTATATCTGCTGTTGAGGTGCATATATATTATATATACACAACGGGAGTCCCCGGGTTAAGAATGCCTGGGTTAGAGACAACCCATAGTTAAGAACGGCACCTATTATAGCAAAATTTGAGTTAAATACACAGTGGTTCAAGTTCATTACACAATACTACTTATACAGTATTATACAATATGTTCTGGCTTACATACAAATTTGATTTAAAGATAGACCTTGGGAACAGAACTTATTCTTAAACTGGAGACTACCTGTATTTAGGGACTTGGGAAGGGATTTTAATTCTTAACAATGACAACTGTAGTCACTCAGAGTTAAAATGTTAATAAACCTTTGGTTAAAGAAAATAGAATTGAGTATTCATTCAAAAGTTATGTCTGTCTTTAGTTTTAGTTATGGAACAATGTGTGGTATGTGAAGGTAATATTAATATGTTATAAACTTAAAATGAAAGCTACAGTGCGTAATCATTATAACAAGACATGTAACATTAAGTATCTAGGAATATATTAGAAATATTTGGTGGTTTTTATATTAGAGTAACTTTTCAGTTGAGTCCTTAAACTATGTGCAAAACAGCTATTATGCAAATAAATGTTTAACAGTTTTTCACCAGCAACAATATTTGTATTTTAAGTGTAATCATTTTCCTCTTCATTTCAAACATTGATATAAATCTTTGGTGGTGCTGTGCAACTGGGTTGAGTTCATTGTTTAAGTTCTCTTGATATTACCAAGTTAACTCTTGAGAGTAGCTTTTTCTAAAGGATTGCTTTTCTTCTGTTTAAAATTTTTTTGTTAATTAAATTTTAAAATTGTTTAACATTTTTAGTCTACATGGAGGAGACCTTTTTCAAGCCAGGAAATGAGTCACACATGATTTAAGAATGCGAATAAATTGTATATTGGAATAGACCACACCTGACTAATTTTTAAACCGGGCAAGGAGGAAAATGTACTGGGAGCAATAGGAAGGAGTCATTAAAGCAACAGAGAAATATTGTCTGTTTTTTGTTGTTGCTGAGGTTTTGTCTGTTTCCAGCTTAAGACAGACTGCTGAGTCAGAGCTGAGTTAATTTTATGTCCTGAATAGCTCACAGCAGATTAACCCTTGATGGACTATAAATGTATATATATTTTGGAAGTAGTGCAGATATTACACAATCAAATCTAGGACATGCATGTATGACATTTGGAATGTCAAAATAATTGTATGCATGTATGTAGCTTGGTTTTCCATGTAAATATCCACCACTTTGACATTTTGTAAAAAAACCCCCCAAAAAACAAGTCCTGATCTCAACAACCTGAGCTCCCCAAAATATATGAAAAACTATCAAACTCTCAAATTACCTGATTTAATCCAATTACCTGATTTCTGTAACTTTATCTGAAAATTGAAGATTTTTAATTATTCTTAACATAGCTGTCTTCTGGTAATATTAGCTATCCTCCTGTGAATTTACCCTGAAACATGATTAAACTTGGACTCAGAATGGTTTTCATGTCAACATATCTTGTTCATTTATGTGAGATTACTTTTTTATGATGGATGCTGCTGGTCCATGCAGATTTGCAAGATTAACATGGTTTTGCAACTAGTTAATTACTTTTTTTTATTTATTCAGTTAATTAAACAGAACAGAAAAAGGAAAAAAATAGGAAAAAAAGCAAAAAAAGGCAAAACAATATTATAAATATATGGGCTATTGATAGGTGTGTGTGTGTGTGTATGTGTAAAGCCTTACACAATAGTTTCAGTAAAGGATGACTATATTTCATTGTAGTAATCCATATAACCTGTATTGATTAGAAATTCATTCATATATTGCAAGTGACACCAGATCTTCAATCCATTGAGTTATTGGGATGGTATATTTTTATTTCCAGTGCTGAAGGAATAATTCTTAATAAAATTATAAAATCCAGTTCCATTAGTTGTCTTTCACGATTTCTGTGACAGAAGCTATTTACTGGAGCTGCTCCAAGAGAGACCACATTTCCTGTTCGGTGGTTGTTCTCTTTAATGCAGGTATGGCAGTGATAAGGGCTGCATATTAACCATTGTCATGTTAAATAGGATAATTATTTAACTATGATCAATATGTCTTCTATATTGAGCCTATTGAAATATTTAATGTGTGCTTTCCCTTCACATTCTGTGCTGCTAAGACAGTTCTCCTTTTGAGAGAAATATTAAGCTGTTATATTTCTTGTATTCATATAATTATACAACTGCTCTAGTGACAGCAATTGGAACAATCTGAAAGTCCTGTATATATTTGATTACAATATCATGCTGGTGGCAGGTATACTAATCATATTTGAGGTTTCTATGAAGAAATAACAGCCATATGGAAGAATGAGGTTGTTGTTTTGTGTGTCCCCTTACACTGGTTGATACATTACAGTTACATTTACTTTTTTGACACATTTATTACTGGATAACAATTAGCAACAGCTTAGGCTTAATTTTTTGTTGTTGTTTTGTTTTGGTGTTGTGATCAGCTATACATATCAGATCATTTGGCTGCTTTAACCCCAAATCAGTTGGCTTCATTCAGATCTTAGGTATCCCAAAGCCCCATCACAGCATGATTCCCAGTTGTCATTTTTTTTCTGAACTACTTTTTTTAGTTCCCTTATATTGTTTAAAACTTTTCTGGGTTTATAATTTCATTGATAAATAATAATTCAGTTACTTTTGATAGTACAGTTGGTTTTGGCATCCTTATACATTTATTTTACATATTAATGAACAGCTGGCAGCAAGTGGTTTCTAGTACTGTAGCTGGAATTCTTACTAACACTTTTTTTTAACTCACTTTTTTTTACTCACAAATTTTGCTGTCATTTACAATCAATGATCATATCATCATGCCTTTGCTTTTACATATTTAGTTAACTGAAGCAGTAATCTTTCATCTACCCCAAGGCCTCCAAAACTATGATTATTATCAGTTTTGGTCTGGTTTTGGTTCTTTCACATTCCTGGCAATTTGACTCTCTGGGTCACATATTATTAGTCAAGTCAGTTGGCTAGAACTTGCAGTAGCTTGTTAATCTGCATTGACATATCAACTAAGGAGTTTTCACTATGAAGAAAAGAAGTACATTTGGGAGACATGTATGGAATTTTAGTTTTGAGGCAGATGAACTTAATGCTTGAGGGTAATGGGGAGTTTCCTCTCAGTTGTTTGTTGTATAGGACTCTTTCAAACATGGCAGAGAAATTCTGGATATGTTCTCTTTGAGATGGCAATACAGATAGTCCTTGCTTACCAACTGGCTTGTTCAACGACCGTTCAGAGTTATGAGGGTGCTAAAAAAATAACTTTGTGACCAATGCCCGCATTTACGACATTTGCAGTGTCACTCAGTCATGTGATTGCCATTACAGTCAGTACGTGTTGTCCTCAGCCTGATTTGTTGTTTTTCTTTTTTTCCCCTTTGCAGAGCAGAGAGATTGGAGAGGAAGGGATTACAAGAGAATAAGCA